ATAATTAATTATTTTGTTAGAACTCGATAATTATTCTAATTATATTTTAGATTTTTTAGATTTTAAAATAACATATTTATTCTCTATTTGATTATGTTTATCCGCAATTAATAATACAAATTCAAACATCGAGCTTTAATAAGTTGTACTTTTGCAAAATTTACTTGTAATATTGAATTTTAAGTAAACATTGGTTTTATGTGGTTTTGAGAAAATAGTAATGTTTTTATTTTTGAATAAAATATAAAATTAAAAATATCATAAAATTTTGAAAAAAAAAATCTATATCAGTATTAAATTAATCCTTTTAAAAGTTCTTGTGTTTTGGTGTAATTTTCTTAATTAAAATTTATTTTAGGTTTAGTAACAAAGAAATTTAATTTAGGTTTAGTAATATAATTTTTTATAAAGATAATAACTAAGTATTCTGTTAGTTATCAATGATTATCCTAATTATATTTTAGATTTTTTATATTTAAAATTAGATGTTTATCCAATATTTGATTATATTTATCTGCAATTAGTTAGACAAATTCAAGTATGAAGCTTTAATAAGTTGTACTTATACACAATTACTTGTAATCTTAAATTTTAAGTAATATGCATCATAAACAGTACTTTGTGCATAAATAATCATTTTTAAAAGTTTTTGTCAAATGCATTATAATATAGTATAGATAATTTAGGTTTAGTAACAAAGAAATTTAATTTAGATTTAATGATATATTTTTTTATAAAGATAATAACTAAGTATTTTGTTAATTATCAATGATTATTTTAATTATAATTTAGATTTTTTATATTTAAAATGAGATGTTTATCCAATATTTGATTATTTTTATCCAATATTTGATTATGTTTATATACTGTTAGTTAGACGAATTCAAATATGGAGTTTTAATAAGTTGTACTTACGTATAATTTACTTGTAATATTAAATTTTAAGTAATATATATCAATAAACAGTACTTCGTGCATAAAAAAATCGTTTTTAAAAGTTTTTGTCAAATATTTTATAATATAGTATAGATATAGATAAAACTTCAATTTAACGCCATAAATTGATAAACATTTTTACAAAATAATATAAGTTTCGATCTGAATACCCTTCAAAATTGAAAAATAATGCATCCAAGTGGTAGACATCTAGTATAAAACGAAAAGGGCTTCTTTCATTTGATCGAATAGTACCAGATTGAACAAATCTTACCATCCCTTTTGATTCTCTACATCTTTGACAAATCGTTTTCCACATTAAACCCCATCCATCTCCCACCCTCTCCTTAATCTACTCTGGATCATGGACAAGGAGCACAACCAATCGAATAGTACAAACACGAATGATAATCCTCCAACTTTAGATGATAGCGGAGATATTGAACCGGCTGAGCTCGTTCTCTTTCAAGTATCTGAATGCTACGTTTATTTGGTAATATCTCCTTTTCTTGATCTATTTCTTGCCTTTCTTCACATTTCCATTAATTGGATCATGCATTAGTTAAGGATCATAATTTTGAAATTTGGATTCTGGGTTAGGTGAATTAGCTGTGTTCTTTGCTTATTGAATTGGGAATTTTGTTAAATCGTGCACACCTGCTGTTTTTTTTAATTGTCAAATTCACGCGTCTTGGAATTATAGCTATATGTGTCTGCATTCACCGTTCATCATTAGAGTCCATTTTCTGTAATTTGCCAAGATTAAGGATGCATGTAACTATTTTTATGGTAGGATGGAGTAGATTGTGTTATTTTATACCTGATGCCATTCTTATTAAACCAAGTGAGGAAGTAATTGAATTGGGTTGTGCAAACTTGATGTATAATTTGGTAGCAAATTATTAGAAGCAGTATCTTTTTTGAATGATGTCAAGATGCTTTGAGATTGAACAATGCACAACAGGTCCATTCACCTTGCTTCCTGTTTCTCTCAAATGGAACTGACTTTTGCATTATTAGCGTCCTTGTTTTCATGTAATGATTATATGCTTCCCTTTATGCTGCCACTTTATGCAGTCATCTCATCAGTGGTAGAACATGAATAGTTTCTTTTAGTAGGAATTGTCTCAAAGAAAATTGAATCACCTCACTAACTTTAATTTATGCCTGTAAATTTTTTCCTTTTGATTCATATTGTCAAAACTATTTTTAACACCAACTCAGAGAAGTATATTTGACCATCTGGCTAATAGATATGTATTGGAAAAACTGGTGTGAATTTAAAAGCTAAGTAGACTTTGCTGAATTACAATCCCATCATTGGTTTTGTGTAAAACTGCAAAGGTCATCTGAACTTTTTGGAGTTACTAAATCGGTCTTTGGAGGGAAGATGGTAAAGTCAAGTTTGTCTCTATGTAAATATGTTTGCAATTTCTTTTTCAATTTTCGTCAGCTAACAGAAGATTTAGAGTCAATTTCTAGTGAAGCACCATTATTCAAAGTTTTATGTTGGAAAAGTAGTAGAAATCACTGCTGTTGCTGCAAATAGATAGACCAACTAAACTGTAATAATGTTGCATAATTGGTGATTATTTGATATATTCTTATAAAATTGGCAAGGCCTACAGAAATCTCAATTCAAGACATGATAAAACTTGAATGAGGTAGTGCAAAGCATTAATTTTAGTAGATAAGATTTGTTTTTCTATTAGTTATATCAGAAATGGATGTCCTTTTACTATGTCATCCTGTCTCACCCTTGATTGCCAGAATATAGGACAAGATCATAAGAAATAAATTGCAAGGAGTAAACTAGTACAAGTGACAGCAATGATTTGTTCTCCTTCAAAGTTGGTAATAGCTACACAAAACCCAATGGAGCAAATGACAAAACGAGAATGGGTTGGTAGAAAGTATTGATGCAACTGTAAAAAGATATTTTTCCAGTAGTTTGGTTAAAAATGGATGTTCTCGTTCTGCATCACTCAATCCCACATTTCACTGGGAGATTGGTGGACAAGATCTTGAGGTATTTAAGAATAGAGAGAACTAGTTGGCATGGAAAGGTTTTTGGAAGAGACATGGAAATGAAACGAAGGAAAAGGTGGTCCTTATCTTTCCAAGTTTATTTGGATCTCTGCTTGCAGCTGCAATCTGCAAGTTTGATTTTTATGTGGTACATTCTCTGCTTACCAGCAAAGCAGATGTTATCGTTCTAGTCTCATTGAAATGACACGTTTTTGTGTATTTGTCTTAATAGCTTATATGTAAGCTTGTTACCATAAATTTTATCTCTTGTTCATGATTTTGTATTTGTCAACCATGGCTCCAAGATATCTGTTTACGTATTTAATGTTATCATTCAATTCCGTACATGTTTGTCCAGTTTCATTATGACAACGAATTTTGTATTATGCTTGGTTGGTGTAGTTGAAAGCTATGATCCTGTTTACGTTCTATCATCGTCAGCAAAGTTTTAAAGCATAAAAAGGCATTGAACATCTTATATCACCAATAATTCTGTTCATATGTTAACTCTTATGTAAATTTATGTGTCATCTTTGACTTGGGGCTAACATTGTTAAAACTACTATTGCGTTTTTGCAGATACCTCCGAGGAAGACTGCAGCTTCCTACAGGTTCTTATCAGAAGTTCTAAACTTCTGTTTTTCTCTTCAAAACAATAAATTTTGAATATGACTTTTATATCTCTGTTGTTTGCTTGTGATTTACCTTCTGATAATGTGTCCGTGTAAACAAAATGTGGTCTTCTGTCCCGTTGACTGTAATTGAGTTGTTCCATAAACTTTTGCTAGCTTATCAGCTGCATGAAAGCGATTAAATGAGGTCGTGTAATTAGTGAAAATCACAGAGCGTGATGTGTTTGAGTTTGCTAATTTTCTCTGGTAAGCTGCTGAGAAGTATTCATTATGAATATTGTCCACTGAAAACTTTCTCATGTTCTAGTTTATTTAATGTTTCTTCTTACTTGAAGGGGGACTTCTTTTGAGGCTTTTGCATCAAGAGGGAACATATTGGTGTGTAGGGTAAATAATCAAACTTAACCAAACAAGCCTAATATATCCCACCCCCGGAGGTCGAGTCTTGGGGGATGTACGTAGATTTGTCATCTACCCCAACGAATAGAGTAGCTGTTCCATGAAGACCCCCAACTTGCAAAAAAGTGTGTGAAAAAGAATGCTTGCCAAAAGGTTTGAAGAATTTGTAAAAAGGAAAATAATTCAAAAACAAAGATCATGAGGCCTCAAGTGAAGAACGAAGGTCAGTTAAAAGTAAGCAACATCATAAAAAGGTAAGTAGGTACAAGGACACATGGCAAAGGTAAGAAAAACTACCACCCTTAACCTCTACCTCTCCAACTCCCTTCGTCACGTCTAGGCAAGCAGCAAGCTACAGGTCCTACCTCTAGTCTGCTACCCTAGTCTTGCGTCTCCAAAAACACCTATAAATGCCCAAGGCTGCCATGTCCTGATGTTCATCCTTAGTTTCCATCCTACATTCTCCTTGGATTTCCCCTCCTCCTTGTTGCCCCCTTGACCGTCACACTTTCTACTCTTCTGACCATAGCCACCATCTGTCTTCTGCGAACATGTCCAAACCACCACAATCTTCCATCTCTCAGCTTGTCCATGATAGGCTCAACTCCTAACTCTGCTTGGAAGACCTGATTCAGTATCTTGTCCAACATGGTCCAACAGTCCAACCATAGATCCATTTAAGAATCCTCATTTTTGCAACTTCCAACTTTCTCTTGTGGGCCTTCCTTGTCGCCCAACACACAGACCTATACAATATAGCTGGTTTGATGACTATCCTGTAAAATTTGTCCTTCTGTTTTAGCAGGTGCTTGTCACCCATGACACAACGCCCTGTGGTAGCCCTTCACTTTAGCCACCCAATCTTTATGCGATACGTTATGTCATTTTCTCCCTCCCCCACCATGGTTATGGAGCCTAGATACTTGGAACATGTCCTTTTTGGGGTACCCTTTGCCTTCCAATGTTGATTTCTGTCCCCTTGTCAATACCCTCCTCACTAAAAGTTGCACCATATGTATTCGTTCTTAGAGCGGCTAACATACAAGCCTTGTATTTCCAATGCCCCACTCAACTGCTCCAACCTCTGGTTCGCCTCCACCTTCGACTCAAGTGAGTTTTGGGGGGATCAGCATATGCAAACTTTGATGTTGATGATCACCAAATTGAGGAAGAGGATTGAGGCCGGTGGATCAGTTAGATAGTCACCTCCTTGGAGACCAACAAGCATGTTGGCTACATCAGAGAAGCTAGATGAGTACGAGCATTATGCTTATTGTTTATGTTCTATTAGATTTGTTGCGATTTTCTTTGCCATGGTGCAAGGGTGCTTATGACCTTTGTGATCTTGTTGTGCTGAAGAGTGTCATTTTTTCTATTATGGATTATGTCTCTTTAACCTATATGAAGTTCTAGTGTTCTATCCTTCACACACGAGGCTATACGTCTCCTTCTTAGAGGGGGCATGTGGAAATCTCAGGTCCCTCATCTCGTCTCTTGCCACATAAAATCTCCTTGGATGTTTGGGCATGGTTTTTTCTTCTTTGTGCTTTAGGTACTTGTGAGTGTGTGGCCAGAGTAGGCAACTCTACGGAAGGAAGGCTTATGGGTCTCATTGTGTATTAAGTCAATCTATCTCTTTGATTTCGTGCACTAGTTGAGGAAGGTCCTGGTGAGTGTTCTTCCCAAAGAGAGAAGGTTCCCTTCCTAATGGCTTCCTTTTACCGTTTTACCCTCAGATAATTAGACAGGATGGTCTGGAGGAATGTTGGACGGATTTATCGAACTTTAGAAACACCTCAAGGACAAAGCAGGCTATTATCAAAATGGTTTTGGACCAATATAGAGCAAGTTGAGTCGGCATAGAAAAAGATGGGATCGAAGCCGAGTGCCAATGAGATCTAGCAACAGTCGCGATGAGCAGAATCCGACGAGGTGGTGGATCAGCAATATAGAGGAATGATAGTTGGTGAGGGTGCAAATAGGTTGGAGGGTTCTTGTTGAGAGGGTCGATCTATGTGACGACAAGCTGAGCGGAAGATCCAAGTGAGGACAAAGGCAGGGTGTCAAGTGATGCTCTCTGGACAGTTGTCATTGAGCTGCCAATTGGAGTTGAGGTTTGAAATTTGAAAATGAGTAGTTTGAGAAAGAGGGTTTTTTTCAATACAGATGCATATATATGTGTGTATATATATATTCCCTTTTCATGACCTAATGAGAAGTTTGAGAAAGAGTTTTTGTGAGCTGTATTTGTTTGTTATTGGTCATAGAGGCTTCCAGCATGGGCTCATCCCCCATCTAAAGCTTACATTAGTGTCATGTAAAGGTAAAAAGCTATTTGCTGATTGGTACTGTTCTCAAGCATGCAAGAAACTTCTAGCCTCTTTTAGGTGTTATTTGAAATGTGTTGGTTTGCTATCCTCCAAAGATGCCTCACAAGTGTAATCTATGGGCCAACTTTATTATTTCTCCTCCATGTTACACATGTAAGATGTTCTTAGCAGGTTTTATTTTATATTTTGGTCCATATATATACTCCATATATCATTGTTATGTTCAGTCATGGAGTCTTGTTTGGCCATCTGTTTCACTGAGAACTAAGAGACGATAGCCACCAATCTGCTTCTAGCAGCCGGCGGCAACACCCTGCTCTCTTGCTGCCATTGCCCATTGCACTCGAAGCCCAGGCTTGATTGCCTCTGGGATGATTCTCTGAAGTCACTGGCAACTTCCTTTGTGATCGTCATTTGGCTATTGAGTGACAGGTCTCTGGCGCCATCATTGTAGTTTGACTGGTTTAGTGTTGATGATAGCAGTTGAACCTCTGTTGCTGTTAACAGCTTACTCTATGTTCAATATGGACTAGGTGGACTTGATGTAGTCATTCCTCCTTTGTTTCTTATTTATAGATCTATTCTTATTTCTTAGTTGTCTTCATGTTGGTTTGACCAAGCGGGTTTTCATGTGTGTTTGATTAGTTTTGGGCTTCCTTGCTTTACATTGATTTGTAAAACTTTTGTTCTTTGATTTGGATTGTGCCATCTGGTATCCTGGTTTTTGTATCTAGTGATGATAGTAAAGCAACTTAATGAATTAGCGAGGAAATTTTTTAGTTTGGCCTTGCAGTTTGACAGATTTCTGTCGCATAGAGCTGACTACTCAAGAAGGGGTTGTTATAAGGGGTTATGGAAATCTTCAGTATGATGAAACAAGCCTTTTCCCACACTAGTTTGGGTTTGATAAATGAAAGCTAATAAAATTGTAAAGAAGTGAATCTAATAAAACTTACAGAGAATAGCATTCTTTCATGGGAGCCTATAAGATCTTGCAACAGGCTAGATTTGGTACACCCAAGTACATCCATGGGTGTATCTGTAAATTTTAGAAAATTAACCATTCTTTTAGTTATAAAACTAAACCACTAATTTGATACAGCCACATGTCTACATCAACTAACAAATTTGAAATAAAAGGAACAAAGTAAAATAAAGTTAATCAACAAAAATAAAAACATGACTAGGAACAAATGTCATGACAAGTGGGGATAATAGTTGTAATTGTTTTTGAAATGTGTATGAATACGTGGCTCATCCATCATGGTGCGAGTTATAGAAGATGAAATGGCACTCTTAAGCAGAATGGGATTTGGAATCTCACTGGAAGAGTTTTGTTAGATGCAAGTACATAGTGAATCTTAATCATGCGACTTCTCCATCTCGTTTTGTGATTCCAAGAGGAGCCTCTAAGGCTTGTCTTTTGAGGAGGTCCCATCATGACCTTAAGTTGGCTCATTGGGAATTAAGTTTCTCGTTGTAAGTTTACAGAAAGCATCACTTTGTTATTAAGGTGTTTCTGTTTTTATCTTATGCATGTTCTGAGAAATTCCATTCTTAGCGAATTCTCCCATTCTTTTCAATAACTACTGCACTCCGTTTCTGGACACATTTCCATCTAGAGAAATTGTTCTGTGCAAGTGAACCTATTTTCCACAAATTAGATATATACTTGGTCAGTTTCTTTTAACTGCTCACTTCTTACTCTTGAATCAAATATATATCTTTTCTGCTTTGGAATTTGATAAGAATTTATTTTATTATTTGATAAAAAATGACCATAACTTTAAAATAAGAAAGAGTAGAAGAAGAAGTCGGTGTTATAAATGTCAAAAGTTCATATTTATTCATATTGAATATTTATGCTGTTAGACATTTAATATGACATCGTGGGAGTAAAAATAGTACATACAGCCGAAAATGTGACTTCAATTTCAAAACTGTTTGAAATGTTCTTCTCTTGATCCCTGATGTGATTTAGAAAACAAAAAACTACTTCGAGTCTAAGTGTATGTTGGTAATTTGACTTCTGGTCAATCACTTCCCATATAACTGCCATAGTGTCATAGTCTTAAACTTCTAATTGCACTTGTTGGAGATGTGGAACTGATCAGTTTATGGTCCATCATAGGGCGGATGAATGGGATATAAACAAATGGGCTTGGGAGGGAACAATGAAAGTAGTAAGCAAGGGAGAGGAGTGTATTATCAGACTTGAAGACAAGACATCAGGTGCGATATTTCTGCTGTTCACGTTTCCCACATGTATGGATTGTATAATTACTTATTTTAACATATAGGTGAACTCTATGCTCGGGCTTTTCTAAGAGATGGAGAACCTCATCCTGTGGAGCCTGTTATTGATAGCAGCCGGTAAATCATTCTCTAATGTGTTTGATGATAAAATTAAATTATGGGCTTATTCAGTGTCTGATAGTTCTTTTTCCAGAATTTTTTTCCATGCATAATTGTGTTGAGTTTTGTCATATTCTCAGAGCCACATCTGTCACGTTTCTAACTAACAATTTTATTTTTCTGCAGATATTTTGTTCTACGTGTGGAAGAGAACATTGGTAATCTACATGCTTTTATGAATCTTCTTTTTCTTATTTTTAACAATATGAATTCCCCTTAACTGTCTGGAAGGCTGACATAGCTTTCTCCAGAGCGAGAGGCTGATCCAGAAATTTTTTTCCAAGCAATAATATAGAGTAAAACACAACTTAATTATAAAAAAATTCTACTGCTGCCTCCTTATTTTCATGGCCTCTATTTTATTCTTTAGTTGCCTTAAAGAGTGTTCACAAACTGGGCCTAAGTTTGTTGCAATGCTGGCTGCATAGTGAGCTGGAATATGGGCTGTTACCAAAAAATTAATAAAGAGCCAAAGGGATTCGAACTTGCATCCTGTAATGCCACATGCAAAACCTTCTTGGTGGTCATGGGTTCAAGTCTCACCAAAGGTGACAAGTGTGCGTGAGTTTAATTGCCGTATATAACTATAGAGTGAATTACACCGGTGGTCCTGTGGTTTGCTTAAATTTTGGATTTGATCCCTAAACAAACTATCTATACCGGTGGTCCCTAACTTTTCATTTCATAACACCCATGGTCCCTCCACTAAACGACATTAGTTAACAACCATTATGAAGAACTAATTGGTCTTTGAACAAACTATAGGGACCAGAAGTCTAATCTGCTCTAAAATTTAATGTGATTCATTTTTTAATTTTTATTAGAAAATAATTTATATATCCATCACAAATCAAATATCTTAAAATAAAATACATATTAAATAAAAATAAAAATATTTATATTTATTTGTTGTAGTGATGGTTTTTCTTAATTGTTTGAATAATCAGTGTTTTTTAATCTTAATTTATAATTTTTATTTTGTTGTTATTTTAGTTATTTGTAGTTTGACTATATATTAATAATCTCACGTTAACCGAACTTAATTTTCAATATTTTGCTCGCATATTTCAATTCTCAACCCAAAAGATGTGCGACTTTATCTTGATTTACTTTTTTTTCAAACTTGAGTTTTTTAACGCTATTTTTTTTTTGTGAATTTAATAATTTTTAAATAAATATGAAGATTTTTATAGTATGTACTTTATTTTAAAAATTTTGATTTGTGATTTTAATAATATATTTTTTTGTTATTAAATTTAAAAAAATGTGTATCACATTAAATTTTAGAGCAGATTACACTTTTGGTCCTATAGTTTGTTCAAAGACCAATTAGTCTTTCATAAAGGTGCTAACTAACATCGTTAAGTGGAGGGACCATGGATGTGCAGTCGGTTCCTTCTTATCCTTGAATGTGTGTGAACTTAGTAGGGTCAGAACTCAGAAGTAGCCAAGTATAATGAGTTGCCAAGTCGCAATAAGCATTATGGTACTTCCCTCTATTTTGAACTTTAAACTCTCAGTGTTGCATTGGACAAAGAAGCATCTGGTGAAGTTTCAGTCTTTGTTTTGACGACCTTTGTTAATATTCAGCATTTGTTACTTCATGATACAATCTTCAGGTAGGTTACCAATAAGCATTTAAATGGCTGTCAGAAATAGCAAGTCTTCCTATGTGTCACATTCTGACACATATCTTTGTCTTAACTGTTTATTTTTGTGAACAAATCAATTCGTCACGACTTCAATCAGCTATTAAACTCGTCACCTTACACTTGTTGCATCTTGATCTGTATGATGCAATAAGAAGTGGTCTGGTGGTCTTAGACCTCAAACCATATAGACTTGCATATCTAAATATAAAATAAAGATGAAAGAAAACTTTAACTTACTGAAATATTGCCAACTTCATTTAACATCAAATTGCTTGGAGCTGATTTCACATCCCTTTCTCTGTTTTCTTTTGTCCCTCCAACTTATAATTCCTTAATCAAAGGCATAAGTTATCTGAAAATGATGCAGGTGGCCGCCTTCGACATGCCTTTATTGGCATAGGATTTCGAGAAAGACCTCAAGCTTATGATTTCCAAGCTGCTCTGCATGATCATATGAAGTACTACTCTAATCCTTCAATGAAGTGTTTGTCCTACATTTTTTGCTTCTCTCAGTCCCATTTACTAAAGATTTTTAATTTATAGCCCGTTTCACTTACATAAATAAAATTCATTTATCACTTGAAGGTATCTTAATAAGAAGAAAACTGCTGAAGAGATGGAACAACAGTTCCAGCATACTTCTTCAGTTGATTACAGTTTAAAAGATGGTGAAACTCTAGTGCTTCAACTTAAGAACGTAAGCTAACTTCAACTCTTCTTGTCTACTGTTTGAATTGATCCAGAAACTTGACTCCATTTTCAATTCCATGAGTTTCAAATCTACCACTTCCCCGATTCAGAATTGACGTAGAATTTTGTTTCTGAAATGTTTTGATTAAATAACCCATCTCAATTCCAATTTTGTCCTAACATAAGTGTCCATATATCTATTTAAGTTTGTCCCATATAAGTGTCTACTTTCTATGCTACCCTTAATTATGAGATGGAGAAATTCATCACTCCCTCTATTATTAAGGGTACAATTGTCACTTACCAAAATGTTGTAAATATTTTAGGCAAACAATATAGTTTCTTATGGTGTTTCACCTGTAATATGATTATAGAAAGGTGGTCGAAGCGTGAGGTCCAAGTTCTTCGAGCAGGGACTAAATAATCTCCCAGATCAAAAAGAAAAGGGTAAGAAGGAAGTTGCAATATCTATCAAACCCCCACCACCACCTCCATCCCCACTTTCACCGCCTATTGGCTCCATGGGTACTCCTCCAGGTTCGCCCTCAAACTTCAATCTTGACCATTCGTTGAGCCCCCAATCAAACGAACCCCATTCTGTTGAAAAACAGACTGCTCAAGACTTGCCAGATGATGATTTTGGGGATTTTCAAGCAGCATAGTGTGTTATGAATGTTTTGCTTAAAACTCAAAACAGGTTCTCACTGATCTCATGTTTCTTATGGGTTGGTAAATATGACATTTCCTTTTTCTATATATCAATTATTTTTTAATCTTCTATTTCTGTTTACCTATGAAACACCCATCACCTAATTGTTTTGTTTGTTCCCTTGTATGTTATGCAGTGTGTTTGGCTTTGCTGTTGAGTTGAATCATTTGTTTCTGATATGACTTTTCTGATGCCTGTGGTTTAACCCAATTTGGTAGTTACTTGCATCATGCCATGTTTCCTTTTGATTTATGAAGATCGTGTTTCGGACTGTTGTAATTCCTTCTTGTGTTAAACCATTTCATGATGTCCTCTAGTGTCAGAAGGGGTCTAGACTGTCCCAGACTGCCAAGTCCCTAGACTGGTAGACTTTGGTTTTGTCATGTGAGAATATGTGAAACCCTGTGTTAGATTACTCTTTAAAAGAGCCATCGATAAGAAGGGAGGTTACAACATATATTGCTGAGAAATGGTCAAAGTGTAGCAGATGTGGAACACCAACACATCCCTTCCAATGGAGGCGTGTGGAGAGGGGTCAGATTGTCCCAAAGTGTTGACTCCCTAAAGTGATAGACTGTGGCTCTTATACGGTTTTGTGAATATGTGGAACCCTCTTAGATTAGAGATTGTCCCGGAGTAGTAGACTTTGACGATATTGCCATATGAGAATATAAAAAGAGCCTTTAAGAAAAGAAGGGAAGGGAAGTTTCAACATATATTGAGGAAAAATGTTCCAACTTTTAGCATATGTGGGGACTCATCACATGTAATATATTGTGTCATATATTTTGATTGGATTTTGTCAAGAATATAAAGATTGTGTCACAATGATTGTGAACCAGAGATGGCAAAAACCGGTTACGTCTGTGCGCTTAGCAGGTTATATTTGATCTCAGTAATAAAACATCATGATGGTTATGGTGTAACTGGATATGGTCTCTTAATTGGTCCATAGTCCGAAATGCATACTTGATACGGATTTATAACCAGTCACGTTTGGTCCACTTTAATGTGTTCGTTTTCTTAATACCATTGACTAATGGGGTAGTGCTAAAAACCCAGTGGTAATTGGTTAACCAACAGTCAAAATATTGTAAATGATAAAAGAGTCGATCAGTTATAACCTGTCTTACTGTAACCAATCAAAATGGGTTGCTTCTAGATCCTGATATCATATTTTAGTGGGAAATTAGGGTTTTAAAAAAGTGTTTTCTTGGCTGATTCTATTAATGAAAGATCTTGATTCTTGAACACTGACATGAAATGTATGAATTCTTATTTCTTATGATACTAATTCAGTCGAGTCGTTATAAATTTATTGAAGGTTTTATATGCTTGGTGTTTCCTTCAAGTGCTTATTGGTGGTTTAGATAAATACCAACATGATAAGATGAATAGGTAGAACTTTGTATATGTAATGTAGTAAAAATTATAACAAACTAGTGTTTTGACATCGCGCGTTGAACGATAACGATATTTTTTTTTAAATTATTGAAGTTGGCTAAATGAGTCGATGATCACACTTATATATTAAATTAATAAGAATCAATATTACCTTTGATATATGAATTTACCCACCTTATTTTGATTATCCATATATTTTATACGAATTTTACAAAAAAAAAATTAATTCCGAATACAATGCAAACAACTCCGAAAACACACTGTTTCGAGTCATTTAGAGTCATAACTGACTTTCGACTCTTCATGAAAGTGGTTGCAAGATACGAGCTTATTCCGACTTATAGTTTGTGAGTTATACATTGTCAAAGTATGGGAGTTGCACTGTCGGTAAAATCCAACTTCACAATTTCTCAACTAACTTTTATGATCCCAACTTCACGTATTCAATCAGACGGGTAATTTTCTCCCCGACTACGGGTCCCATACTCCCCCCCCCCCCCCAATAAACTGAAAATCCATAACCCCAATTGCTACGGTAATGCCTTTTAGTTACCTTATGCTTGTTTGAACAACTTCGGTTAATCTTGTCTTTCTTATTATGTTGTACTAAAAAATGATTGAAACTCGTGTTTTTGGTCATTTTAGTAAATATACTATTATTATATTCAAGTATTATGTAAATAAAATTATACATATTAATCATAATTTCATTTATATAAGTGAGTTT